GATGTTCACCGCAGCAGAACCTTATGGGCCGGGGTTCTGCCAATGGGGACGGGTAAAATCACTGTCTGAGCAGAAATGCCAGGCGGAAGATGGTATTGGAATCGACCGGACCTGTTAAGGCTTTGTCACAGGTGACCGCGAGCCGCCCTACCCCTGTTGTTTCTGGCGTCTCCGCAGAGCTGGCGGCTATAGCTCATACATTGAACGGGCTGGTGGGACTGAAAGGGTTCAGGCTCAGGCTGCTTACCAGTAACAAAGCAGCGGCCCTCACGATACAGAACCCTCGACAACAGTCAGGCCAGGAGTTCGTCTGCCAGACGTACAAGCTGATGAACAGACTGCGGAGAAAAGGAAACCATATCAAGATTCTTTGGGTCCCTACCAGCGAAGACAACAAATTACTGGGCCTAGCTAAGGAGCAGGCCAGGGCCGCGACCCATGAGGACGCTATCCCACAAGCACAGGTTTCCAGAATGAAGTCAACAACCTTGAATCTCGCACGATCCCAAGCAGTCACCACGAAAGCCTTGCCAGAGGACATAGGGAGACACGTCAAACGAGTGGATGCAGCACTTCCAGGAAAGCACACCCGACAACTGTATGATGGATTATCGTGGAAAGAAGCGACCGTGCTGGCTCAACTCCGGACAGGCATGGCAAGATTAAATGGGTATCTCTACCGGATCAATGTCGCGCAGACAGACCAGTGTGCATGCGGACAAGCAAGAGAAACCGTGGAGCATTTCCTCTTCCGATGTCGGAAGTGGACCACGCAACGGATCGCACTGCTACAATATACTCGAACTCACCGGGGCAATCTCTCCCTCTGCCTGGGCGGGAAATCGCCTTCCGATGGTCAGCAATGGACGCCGAACTTGGAGGCAGTACGAGCCTCAATACGATTTGCCATCGCCACGGGCCGACTCGACGCCACCTAACCATGTCAACCAAGACAACGACACCCTTCCCCCAACTAACCTACACCAACCACCTTGTGCCAAGAATGGTAGACGCGCTTCAACTGCCGAGGATAGGATGTTGAACACTTGAAGAAGCGCCTTCAAGCCAGTCTATTAACAAATTTACTAACCCACAGGGATCCTACGATAATGACAGCTGAGAGGACATATACTGAAAGGATCTATGTATGGGCTCGAAGGAGATACAGCAGATGTACATAGAATTCGTGTTGATAGTTTAGTGATAGTTGCCCTTTCGGCTGAGCCGCCGGGCGTTAATGAATTGTGTGTGTGTGTGTGTGTCAGGGCGCCAACGCATCAGGGCATCACCGCGTCTGCTATGGTGGGGTCAACGCAGCTTTTGGCTGCGTAGTCAACGATTATCAAAGAAAACCGTAGCAGCTCATGGCTAGGATCGAGGGGTATAACCGTCAGTGTAGGGCTAATCATGTCCAACCGTCTGCGGTGCCAGCCGGCCTGCTTGGCGGTGTTGACATGGAAGTAGATCAGTCGCCATGACCTCCAGGGCCGAGACCATACACCAAGTCGCTGATCCCAGACAGGGTCTCTCCAGTGGAACCTCCATGTCCGCACATTATTTATCATAGACGTCTGAGGGCTTTGTGGGGTGAGCTGAAATCCAAGTTTGCGAGGGGACGTTTACGTCTACAGTCTACACCATAATGCGGTCACGCGTTGAAATGAACGTACTAGGGTCAGCGGCAGAACCGCAGAGAAAACCACACCTTCTCCTACCGGGGCAAACCTAAATGGTAGGATCATGACACCGTATGTCATTGATCAACGGTCAGGTGCACAATGTCCTCGATACGATATTGATACTGTAGTTACGGTATGGCAACTGGAAGCACAGTATCCCTCTCCTGCTACATATGCATTCATAATAGGATATTCCGAGAAATACCCTTTATAAAGGCCTGGCGGGTGGCCTTTATATAGTGTTCTCCGTCACTTCGCTTCGAACATCTCA